TATATACATATATATATATATATATATATATATATATATATATATATATATATATATATATATATATTATATTATATTTTTTAAGAATATGATTCCATCGCTACATGTTTCAAAAACAGAAGCTAAAAAACCCGCCCTATTTCATCCTCAAGTGAATTTTGAAATAACTAATCTTGAAATTTACGGAGCTTTATAAGCATATACATTTAGGCTTTACTTATGTATTGAGCACTGTTTTGTAAAATAAAAACAAAAATACTAAATAACTTTAGATTATCAACCTAACAGTTCTTTCCTATTTTTCTATATATTTACACACACAAACACACACACACACACACACACACACACACACACACACACACACACACACACACACACACACACACATATATTTTATATATATATATACTCATGTTAATACGGGTGTACATATGTTACATTATACAAGTCAAAAATAGTTCACAGTAACGATAGCGATGCTAAGCATTCTGCCTTATAGAATAAAAGTTATCTCGAGGGGAAGCGTAACGAGGGAAAAATTGCAACTCCTCCAGTGGCCTAGTCAGAGTCCTGATCTTAACCCAAATGAAAACTTTTGGGCAATAATGGTAGGCGTGCCTGTAATAGTAAAGTAAAAATAGTAGATAAGCTTTTTTTTTTGCGAATTAAAGAAATGCTGGAAAAATCTGGCGAAGAACAGTGACATACTAAAGAATTTAGTCTATAGCATGCCACGAAGAATTAAGGCCGTTATTAAAGCAAAAGGTTACCCAATAAAAAACTAAATCATTTTTTGACTTGAATAACGTACATATGTATACCTGTATTATACTTCGCTATGTTAATAAACGAATTCTATTACTCACGTGTCTTGGTGAAAATACAAAAATCGAATTTCTATAGGTGCGTCCATTTTTTTTTTTTTTTTGCCAAGTACTATATATATATATATATTAAACAATTCACCCCATACAAGATGATAATTCCACTAAGACGAATGGGGCTACTGGGTGTAAAAGAGAATGAAAAAGACTTTAAAAAGAAAAAGAAACCCAACAGTAAATAAATTAAATAAACTTGCACTTCTGTTAAAAGTCGGGACGGATTGTGAACCGGACGATATATGGATCTATCATATATCTATCAACTATCATATATATATATATATATATATATATATACATATATATATATATAAACTATCGTATATATATCAACTCCTATGGGAAGGAAAAGAAATCTTGTCCGTTCGCAAGATCATATAGTTTAAGTAACATCATAAAGCATTTCTAGATTCAATTTGATTAATCAATCAATATATGTCTCTATCTCTCTCTCTCTCTCTCTCTCTATATATATATATATATATATATATATATATATATATATATATATATATATATATATTTCTAATTAAAATGCGGTTTAGGTAGTCTGGTCAACTAATTAGGACGGATAACAGTCTGAATTCAAAACAGAACTTTGGTCAGCCAGAAATTCAAATTTATCGTGTTCCGAAGGCCCTTCTCTGCTTGAGTCGAAAGATAAGTTGAAAGACAACTTGAAACGATTTTGGCATCGATACAAAATCCTTTGGAAGAGTTGGCAGAATCCAGATTTAAATAGAAGACATTGTACTTGACACAGCTTAAAGGTTTTCGGAATTAAAAGCCTAGAGAATTGCAATACGTCAAGGCGGGAAGTAACAGAAAGGAATCACATAAAACCCTCATTTTGTTTGTCAATGTAGCTTCAAGGAAAGTAGAGAGATCTTGTGTTCATGATACAGTAACGAGCTATTGTGTGAAAATGTGTGGCACAACAAGGAGTCTAAAGTTACATATAATGTGTCATAGAGTGAGGAACAAAGCCAGTGTGACGATTTTACGAACCGACACATAGTCGTTTACGATCTACGACTCATCTGCATTGAAAATTGCTTACACTATTTACATCACTCGGACTGTCTATATCCCTGAGATGAGGTATTATGATTACTTGCATTATTTACATTATTCGGAATGTTATCCTCATCTTCATTGCCATATCCACAACGTTTCGGCCTCTATATCTCTGAGATGAAGTATTATGATTACTTGCATTTTTTACATTATTCGGATGCTATCCTCATTTTCATTGCCATATTCACAACGTTTCGGCCTCTATATCCCTGAGATGAGGTATTATGATTACTTGTATTATTTACATTATTCGGAATGTTATCCTCGTCTTCATTGCCATATTCACAACGTTTCGGCCTCTATATCTCTGAGATGAGGTATTATGATTACTTGCATTTCTTACATTATTCGGACTGCTATCCTCATTTTCATTACCATATTCACAACGTTTCGACCTCTATATCTCTGAGATGAGGTATTATGATTACTTGCATTATTTACATTATTCGGACTGTTATCCTCATCTTCATTGCCATATTCACAACGTTTCGGCCTCTATATCTCTGAGATGAAGTATAATGATTACTTGCATTTTTTACATTATTCGGACTGTTATCCTCATCTTCATTGTCATATACACAAGGACACATGGCCCAGTGTATAAAGACGTTAGTCAGATCCAGCGACTAGCTTCTAGTGATATAATGGCTGTCTATATCATTGAGATGAGGTATTATGATTACTTGCATTTTTTACATTATTTGGATTGCTATCCTCATTTTCATTGCCATATTCACAACGTTTCGGCCTCTATATCTCTGAGATGAGGTATTATGATTAATTGCATTATTTACATTATTCGGACTGCTATCCTCATTTTCATTGCCATATTCACAACGTTTCGGCCTCTCTATCTCTGAGATGAGGTATTATGATTACTTGCATTTCTTACATTATTCGGACTGCTATCCTCATTTTCATTACCATATTCACAACGTTTCGGCCTCTATATCTCTGAGATGAGGTATTATGATTACTTGCATTATTTACATTATTCGGACTGTTATCCTCATCTTCATTGCCATATTCACAACGTTTCGGCCTCTATATCTCTGAGATGAAGTATTATGATTAATTGCATTATTTACATTATTCGGACTGTTATCCTCATCTTCATTGTCATATACACAAGGACACATGGCCCAGTGTATAAAGACGTTAGTCAGATCCAGCGACTAGCTTCTAGTGATATAATGGCTGTCTATATCATTGAGATGAGGTATTATGATTACTTGCATTTTTTACATTATTTGGATTGCTATCCTCATTTTCATTGCCATATTCACAACGTTTCGGCCTCTATATCTCTGAGATGAGGTATTATGATTAATTGCATTATTTACATTATTCGGACTGCTATCCTCATTTTCATTGCCATATTCACAACGTTTCGGCCTCTCTATCTCTGAGATGAGGTATTATGATTAATTGCATTATTTACATTATTCGGACTGCTATCCCCATCTTCATTGCCATATTCACATCGTTTCGGCTATTGTACGCTCCGGCCTTCTTCAGGTGATTGAAATTTCGAACTGAACACTTTATTTCGTCGTAGTTTGTTCTACTTCCACGTGCTATGCCTCTTTCGGATGTCTCAGTTATTTCCCTTTAACTCAACTCTCCAAGTTTTGGTTCACCACTGCTGTGGCCTGGTATTGAACTCACAACTCTTTGAGTCTAAGTCACTGAATCTATCAACTGGGCCATGTGTCCTTGAGGATAAAATCGTTGGTTAGATAAACACGTTGGAATTTCGAACCGGACCCTTTATTTAGGCCACGGGGGTTAGAGTGTTCTAATTCCACGTGCCATGCCTTATTCGGATATCTCAGCTTCAGTTCATTCCTTTTAGTAACTCAAGACTCCAAGTTTTTGTTCCCTCAGCTGAAGTCAGGTATTGAACACACAACTCTTTGAGTCAAGTCACTTTTTGGATTACTTCAACCAAAGCTTTTATCCACTGGGCCACATAATCCAGCGTATATCACTTGAAAAAGGCCGGGGCGTACAACGGCCGAAATGTCCTGAATATGGTAACAAAGATAAGAACAACAGTCCGAACAATGTAAATAATTTTATAGCTCATGTCAGAAATATAGGGAGATTCTGAATAAGACCGGAGCATACAACGGCCGAAACGTCCTGGATATGACAACGAAGATGAGAACAATAGTCCGAACTATATAAATAGTGTAAATAATTACAGTACCAGATCTCAGAAATATAGAGAGATCCTGAAGAAGACCGGTTCGTACAACTGCCGAAACGTCGTGAATATGCCAACAAAGATGAGAACGACAGTCCGAACAATGTAAATAGTTAAACAATTACACTACCTCATCTCAGAAATATAGACAGATCTTGAAAATTACTTATAACGTTTGTTGAAATTTCTACATATGCATGAAACAAAATACGTGGTTGGAAACAAAGATTATGAAGAACTGGCGCTAGAGATGTGAAATATTGCATGAATTAGTTTCAATTATTAATAACTGCAATGTTCATTTGTTTAAAGAAGTTGTCAAGAGTAACAAATTGAAAATGGACAAAAATATCATCGTGGGGCTATCAAGTACATGCAGAAAAAAAAGTATATCTCCAACTGTGACACTATTTGTCGATGTCGTGTTAAAATGGAAGGAAGTTTTATGAAAGGAGATATTGAAACGAAAAATGTTAATACCAAAAACCCGTGAAAAAAATTGAGGATTTCATTTACGCATAAACGACTCGAATTGTATGTCGAGCAGTTTGGACAACGTAAAAGTGACCCAGACTTAGAAGGTAATGTTGATTGACGCACAGCTGAAAATGCAAGCTATAAAGCGAACATTTCATTTTTCGTAAACAACGAATTTGGAGTTGATTTCCCTGGTCGAAAGTTGTGTTGAAATGCCAGGAGGGTGGTGGTGGTGGTGTAGGGGGGGTTGTAAGTATGCCAGCCACAATCACTGAGGTAATAATATGTGAGAGTGGGAGAAGAGAATTCCCCAGAATTATCGAATTCTTTTACTTCGCCAGTTTAGGCAAATGTCCATAAATACGAATGCGCGGAGCGAATCAGGCAGAAGAGAGGCAAAAGAGACGGTGACGAGACCAGAGACACGAGAGAGGCCCACGTGTTTATCTGCCGACGATAAGTCTCCGACTTCAGCCTTGCGACGAACTTTACCAAAACAGCAAAACAAAGATTACCAAGTCAACAACAATATCACTTTAGATTTAGACGCGGGTTGGGCTGATAATTAATTACATGCAGATTATGATGTAGCTAATTATTTTACGAAGGACTGATATAAAATCAGTATTTACTTTTTGTTCAATTTAATCGAGTGTTATGTTTTCCCCTGTACGTCTTCGCCTTGCTTAGACCAGCCCAACACGAGGATATCTGCGACGACTCGACCTAGGCCTCTTTATGATCAAGCTTAAATCGTGGGATAGGGAAGGTTTTCATCGATCATCCGCGGTGTTGAAAGTCCAAGACCAGGAAAGATGTTGCACGATTACACAATGATATTCCAGTTGATATGATTGCTACATTAGCTGATGACGCTCCGCATTTATCAACAGTACAAAAGTGGGAAGCTGAATTTAGGAGGGGAATAGATAGAATTGAAGATGACCGATGGTTTGGAGTTCCGGCAACCGCCCTCCACCGAGAAAATCATTGATCATATTCACCACAGAGTGATGGGTGACAAGTGACTGTCTATAAATAAAATAACCAAAGTTATTAGCAAATCCCGTTGAACGAATGAATTTGGTTAAATAATTTAGATATATCATGTCGATTAGTTTTCGTTATGACCCTTTCATATTTGCGGATTTCTTTCTAGGTAGCCTTATAAAAAAACAAAATTTTCTTTCAAATAGTTTCTATTTCCCCAAGTACTTTCAATCTCATCAGAGATCATCTTCAGGGGGTTAAGTTGCCTGTGAGTATGTATATCTTTCTGTAAATTCAAAACATTTCAACTGTTTCAAAACGAAGTCTAATCGACATGATATGTCTAAATTATTTAACCAAACCTGTCTAAATGAAAATATGCTGCCCAAATATACACAGTATATATATATATATATATATATATATATATATATATATATATATATATATATATATATATATATATATATATAATAATAAAAAACAAACACTAATATTCTATGCTCATACCATGGAATATTAGTGTTTAAACCTTTTATTATATCCTTACTCTGTCCTGGACATTGAGTTCTAACTGGATTCTATCCTCTTGCAAATTTTATTCAAAAAATATATATGTATGTGTATGCATGTATATATATATATATATATATATATATATATATATAT